TCTCTGCCTCAGCCTCCAGAGTAGCTGGGATTACAGGCCTGCGCCACTACGTCTGGCTAATTTTTGTATTTTTAGTAGAGACGGAGTTTCGCCATGTTGGCCAGGCTGATCTTGAACTCATGACCTCAAGTGATCTGCCCGCCTTGGCCTCCCAAAGTGCTGAGATTACAGGCATAAGCCACCATACCCAGCCCCGTTACCTTTTCAGCATACTTTCACAAGCAGATATTGCTGGGTCAAGTGCAGTTAGTAGCAAGGCTATATCAAGTCAAAGATGCCCCTTGGTAATTGAGAGGCTCTTTAGGTCATTACAGTGCCCCAGGATGATTGTCATGAACTTGGATTGTCAAAGAACAAGAAATGCACATTAACAGGTATTTCCAGGACATCTTTAGAAACCAGTTAGGGTTTATCGTACAACTGGAGACTTAACCCCAAGACATGAAGTGAGTTACATCCCTCTTTGGTAAAATTTTCACCTAAATCAATAGCCATGTGTCTTTAAGGGCATTAAGAATCTGCCGGCCTAAAGTAAAATCAGAAAATCCCACCAACCTTTGACGGATAACATCACTTCAGCCAGGTGTTCTCGCTTGAAAGCATCTTTTTCATACTTCAGAACAACACACTCGTATGTGCCCTCGTCAGATGGGCGCAGAGCCAGAATCACAATGGAGAGGTTATTAGTGATATCAAAGATGGTCCGGTTCTTGTACTCGGGCCATATATTCATGTCCCCAGATATCATAGTCAGCACCATTTTCTTCTCCTTTTGCCAGTAGATGCGAGTTTGTGCCAGCTCTTCAACAGAAACATTGTGACCACAGGACAGCGTTGCCACTTCTTTCACTTCCTTGGTCACGTGGATAACACCTATGGAGAGGCAAACAGAACAGGATTGTATATTTATTAAATATAGATTCCTGCACGGTCAGGAATCCAAAGTTGGCAGTAACAGAACTTAGAGTGTTGTGTCTAGTGACTAAGCATCAATCCAGTTTGACTTTTTGGGTCCTCAATGCTTTTTTTCTCTTCATTTTTTAAAAATTGTGGTAAAAAACACATAACAGGCCGGGCGTGGTGGCTCACGCCTGTAATGCCAGTACTTTGGGATGCCAAGGCAGGCATATCACTTGAGGTGAGGAGTTTGAGACCAGCCGGGCCAACGTGGTGAAACTCTGTCTCTACTAAAAATTCAAAAAATTAGCCGGGTGTGGTGGAGGGCACCTGTAATCCCAGCTACTCGGGAAGCTGAGGCAAGAGAATTACTTGAACCCAGGAGGTGGAGGTTGCAGCAAGCTGAGATTGCACTCCAGCGTGGGCAACAAGAGTGAAACTTCGTCTCAAAACAAACACATAACATAAAATTTATCATCTTATTGATTTTTAAGTGTACAGTTCAGTAGTGTTAAGTATATTCACGTTGTTGTGACACAGGTCTCTAGAAATTTTCATTTTGCAAATCTGAAACTCTATGCCCATTAAACAACTCCCTTTTCCCCCTCTCCCCTCAGTCTCTGGCAATTGCCATTCTGTTTGTTTGTATGAATTTGGCTACTTTAAATATCTCATAGAAATAGAATCATACAGTAACAGCCTGTTTATGATCGGCTTATTTCACTTAGCATGATGCACTCAAGGTTCATTCAAGTTGTAGCATACGATAGGATTTCCTTCCTTTGGAATGGTAATGATGTGATCATGAGGATAATGAATAATATTATGCACACACACCCCCCGCACATTTTGTTTGCCTATTCATCTGTCGATGCACATTTTGTTTGCCTATTCATCTGTCGATGGACATTTTGCTTGCTTCCCAACTCCTGGCTGCTGTGCTGCTGTGAACATGGGTGTGCCAATGTCTCCTCAAGACCCTGCTTTCCATTCTTATGGATATATGGAATTTTGGGGTCATATGGTAGTTCTATTTTTAATTTTAATTTTTTGAGGAACCTCAAAAAGTAGCAGTTGCACCTTCAATGCTTTTTAAAGGTTTTGGAAGTCACTATTTAGAAAAACTAAATGTGATTGCACAAAAAACAAATTTGGTTTCGAAAACAGTGAAGACAAATCACTAAAATCGGACTCGTGGACCAATCATTATAACATAAACTATCCCTTTCCTTTTTCTTGAGAATTTTCCAATGACATGCAAGATTTAGGAGCATATGAGCCTTCTTTTACAGCAGGCATGTTTAGTCCTATTACTTCTTATTTGGTTTATCTAACACAATACCACCCCCAAGAGAAGTCAGTCCTGACTAAGGTTCTGGGCACCGTGGTGGTGGAGGAGGGCAAGGTGCTGCTGCCCACCTCTCTCTAGATAGCCTATATTGAATTACTCTTCATAATATTTCCTTTTTTTTGCTTCCTCTGTGGTGGCTCTATGGAGGGGACAGGTGCTATTTCATTTAATCCCCCAACAACCCCATGAGATATGTATTATTTTCCCCATTTTGCAGCTGAGGCAACTGAGAGATTGTGAGGTTCAGGAAGTCTAGGACAGGGCAGGTCAGCCTGAGATTCCAAGGGCCTATGATTCTGCAGCCATGACGAAGAATAAGGGAGGGAGATGAGGTCAGCTAAGAAGAAAAAAGAGGGCCATACTTTTAAATAGGTAGGGAACATAATCAATCTTCATTATTCATGAATTCCCACTTACAGAAGGCCTCCTTCTTGGCTCTGTTGCCTGGTCACTTGATTAGGTAATTTTCAGCTACTACTGCCTTGAGAAATTAGAATTTCACTATAAAGACCTAGTCTCTGATGCTTACTGCCCTTTCCCTTGCGTTTCTCCTACAGCCCCTCTCCCCACAATCACGTGATGCAAGAACACACACACACACACACACACACACACATAGAGAGAGATATGCACGTGTACACCCATTCATTTAAACTACAGAACTGCATTTAACCATGGAAAAAAATCTAAGGATAAATTTTATCCAGATTAAGTGAGCTAAAGACAATCCATTTCATGTGACTTCACTGGCTTGGCACAGGAATAAAACCTTCATCTGTCACCTTAATACACATCCTGATTCCTCCTCTTTTCACTTGAGTGACTTAGGATTTAAAGCTCTCAGGACTGCCTACTTCCCTACTTACCTTAAAGGCAATCATGACTAAGTGCCCCCTGCTAGCATCCTTGCCTAGCGGCTCCTGGTTGTTGGTGTAGAAAGCACATGGGCCTTTTGTGTTTAATAAAATCCACAGTAGCTGTGTGACCTCAAGCAATTTGCTTCACTTCTCTGAACCCCAATCTTCACATTGGTTATTATGAGGATTAAATGAGGTAATTTATGGCAAGCACGTACTGTATTTCAGTGCCTAGATGCACACCAAATATGAATCCCATTCTCCTTTCTCCAAGGGGGTGGGGAATTTACTAACTTCTAAGGCTTTTGATTTCATCTTTGGACAGTTTGACTGAGGAAGTTTTGCTTTGCTTTATGTTGAAGTCTGTTTCCCTCTATCTTCTACATGTATTACAAAACACATCTCATTCTTCTTACATGACAAGACTTGCAGATATCTGAGTATAGTGATGTCCTCTCTCAGATAGTTCTGCAGGTTCTCATCTGCCCCTGTTCCTTATTGATGTATTGAAAGTGAGTGCCCTCACTTTCCTCACTACACAGTTTGATTTGTGTGTATATTTTTTTGAGAGCGCAAAGTCCACTAAATCTAACATTCCAGACATCCACTGTGTGATTGGCTCAGAGTAGAATTGGGTTGTCACCTCCTTTACCTAAATCTATGTTTGCAGCCTAAAGTTGAATTCAATATATTAGCAGCCACCTTACACCTTTGATATACCTATTGATATACTGACAAGCAAATTGCCTTATTTTTCCACCTGCACATACCACTGAGTGCTGCTCCTACATCCAGTTCAACACCCAACCAAATGGGTAAAGCTCTTCCAGTGATATTACCTTTCAAGAGTTATCCAGAATCTTCCCCTTCCCCTGCATCTCCATATGATGACACCTCTTTCTTTCTCTTCTTTCTCTTTCTTTCTTTCTTTTTTTTCTTTCCTTCCTTCCTTCCTTCTTTCTCTTTTCTTCCTTGCTTCCTCCTTTCTTTCTCCTTCCTTCCTTCCTTCCTTCCTTCCTTCCTTCCTTCCTTCCTTCCTTCCTTCCTTCCTTCCTTCCTTC